CTTCCCCTCCCCTCCCCTCCCCTGGCCCCCCACGAGTGGGAGTGACCGCCTCTCCTCCTTGCCCCCCCAGGCCGCCCAAGCCGACGAGCACCTCCGGATGGGAGAGCAGCGGGCGGCGGCCCTGGAGGCCCGGGTCTCTGAGCTGTCGGGGCTGCTCGGAGCCTACGAGAAGGCCAGGCAGAAGGACCAGGCCACCGTCCAGAAGCTGAAGGACCGCATCGCCCAGCTGGACCTCGAGAACAAGACCCTGGCCGTCGCCGCCTCTGGCCATGCCGCCAGGGGTCTTGCCCTGGAGGACGGCCACCTGGACGCCAACGTGCTGAGAGACAAGGTGGAGAAGTTGGCGGAGCTGGCGCGAGTGGCTGCCGAGCACACCCCGTCTCTCCTGGGGGACGTTGGGGGTCTCTGCCCGGCTGAGCCCCCGAAGGAAATGGAGTCTGGGGACGGCGAGAAGGCCACCGTGGCCTATTATCAACAGGAGCTCAAGCAGCTGAAGGAGGAGTTTGAGAGGTACAAGGTGCGGGCGCAGGTGGTCCTGAAAAACAAATCGGCCAAGGACGGGAACCTGGCCAAGGAGCTAGAGGAGAGTCAGGAGCAGCTGTCGGAGCTGAAGGAGAAGTACGTTTCCCTTCGGCTGTCCCGCGAAGTGGAGGCCAAGCAGCACCAGGAGCAGGTGGAGGCCAAGAGGCGAGAAGCGGCTCTCCTCCAGCAGCTCCACCGCCAGGAGCTGGAGCGATGCCTGTCGGACGGCCGGGAGAAGGCCCTCCGGCTGGAGGAGGAGATGCACAAGCAGCGCGACCGGGCCCTGGCCGTCCTGGCAGAAAAGGACCAGGAGCTGCAGCAGCTGAGGCTCCTGGCTGTGCCCTTTGGGCTGCAGGCACCCAAAGCAACCACGGGGCCAGGTCTCGGTAGTGGTGGCAGCGGCGGCGCCCAGAGCAGTGGTGGGGTGGGTGATGATGCTTTGGAGCCCCTGACCCTGCCTCTCCCTGCCCCCAACGAGCCCACCTTCCTGCTGTACACGGAGCAGCTGGCCCGGAAGGAGGTGGAGCTCCTGGCCCTGAGAAAGCAGAAGCACCAGCTGGAGATGGAGGCTCACCAGTTCCAGGAGAAGCTGCTGGGCGAAGGGGAGAAGCACCGGGAGGAGGTGTCTCTGCTCCAGGGCCGCATTCAGAAGACCTTCAGGGACCAGAGCAGGGAGGGAGCCAACCTGGAGTACCTCAAGAACATTTTCTACAAGTTCCTGACTTTGACAGATTCGCTGGGACGCCAGCAAACCCTGACAGCCATATTGACTATTTTGCATTTTAGCCCAGAGGAGAGGCAGGCTGTCCTGAGCCACATGGATGGAGGCAGCAGCTGGTGGCTTTCGGGGAAAAGATGAAACCCAACCCCCTCTGCTTGCTCTGGGTGGGGCGGGGGTTGCTGGGCTCAAAACGAGGCTGGCTTCCCATCCTGGCCTCAAAGCAAGCCAGAAGCCATTCCTCGCCATTGGGTGGGGAGGCCACGGGACCAGCCAGGGCTCCCAGTTCAAGCTCCAGACTGAGCGATTTGCCTCCCTGGGGTTGCAGGGATTCAATTTGGGATCTTTGTTCTTTTTAAAGGGCTCCATTCAGGAGTCTGGCCGGTGGTTGTTCCAACACGTGTGCCAAATGTGGACTGGGGAAACCTCTGGACTCTCGAACGTGCAGTTGAGCTTGAGGCCAGCCAATAAAGCGTCAGCAGTGGAAGCCTCTCCTGTGAGTGCCTGGGCTGAGGCAGAACCCGGCCTTTAGACGGAGCCCCCAAGCACTGCGGTCGAGGCACAGTCCCTGGTGGGGGTTTGGTGGGCTTCTCCAGCCACTCTGGGCCAGAAGGTGCCAAGATTTCCCCCCTCCTAATCTGGGCGCTCCTTGCATGCCTTCTCCCAGCCAAGGACTCGAAGGCAGGCCGAGGGTCCTGCCTCCCCACCCCCCTCTCCATCTCTGTGGAACTCGACTCTATGGCCTCCCATCTGGCAAGGGTGGCCATATAGGGCAGGGGTCCTTCTTGGCTCCCTTCACAGCCCAGAAGGGACAGCAGCCTGGGGTTTGTTACCCGTCTTCCCTCCAGGGTCATTGGCCAGTTTCAGTTTTCCTGCTGGGTCTAACAGGCCCTTCAGCATCACGTATGAAAGGACGGAGCCTCACAGCAGGTTTTGGCACGGGAACTCGGCCGTCGTCTTAGCCTCTTGGAGGATTAAGCCATTATGTCAAAATGTGCAATTTCTTAGGGCACGGCCTATGTAAACACAGTTATATTTTGTACAGGTAGGTTAGGATGGCTCACCTTGTGTGCCTGGGTGTGCAGACAGTTATCTGAAAAAGAGAACGGGGGGGGGGGAGGTAAGAGCAGCTGTGAGGTCAGAAGAGAGTCAGGCACTCACATTGCTGGTGCAGAAGGCTTGGCCATCCGTCCTCCCTGGGGAGGTGGGAGTGGGGGGCCCAGAGCAGCTGCAGCTTATTGGGTTCCTTAGAGTTCTGCCATCTGGATCAGCAGACTACGGCTGGAACATTGCAGGTTTCTGGGTCTGTGAAGCCTTTTCATTCCTTCCACCCCAGAAATGGAAAAGAGCTTTGGAACCCTCCCTGCCCAGCCGTGCAGAGAGAGAAAGGGAGGGGGCTGAGCCTGCAGTGAGGGAGAAGCTTGCGGGGGGGGGGGGATGAGTTGCAAAATCAGTTCTGGGCTGTGGAAGGAGGACAGAAGCGAGGCCCACGGGGCACCCACCTGGGCAGGGCAGCAGCCTGAAGCTTCTTGGACCCCTCTATTTTAAGGCCAATGACGTGACCCCAAGCGGAGCTAGGAGGAGGGAGTAAACAATCCAGAATCCCTGCTTTCCCAGCATGAAATCCCTACCCGTCCCCCCGTCCCCCCCAGAGCGGCCGGTGCTTGGGCAGCCATTCCCAGTGCTGCAGCCTGCCCGGGAGTGGAGCTGCTGCTAAGGCGCTGGGACTAACCACGACTGCTTCTCTTCTGGGAGGCCTGAGCTGAGGGCGCTTGCAGCAGGAGGCCCTGGGTTTAGGGGCGGAGAGGGGTTCCCTCCGGAAGGGGGCTCCCGAGTGGGGGTGGGGGTTAGGCTAAGTTGGCCAGGACCATATTCTCGACTCCACAGGTCTCCGGCCCCTGAGCTGCAGGGCCCCTTCTGATTGGCTCAGTTCACATGAGGTATTTTCCTTGGCTGGCTAAGCCATGGTTTAATCACTGGTTTCTAGGTTTGCTCCACTCTGGCCACATATGCTGAAATGCCTAGTGGTGAATGTGCAGCCTGCTTGAATAGTCCCATTAAAGACCTGACAGCTGGTCATGCTGCACAAACCCAGCCTCTAGCTGAATTTAAGAAGCAGCCCATTGAGAGGGAGGGTCCCCTTTCACCCACCGTGCTCAGTGGCCAAATGTGGGCCTTGTTTCGCTCCCCCCCCACCTCCAATTGTGTGGGTTTTTAACTGGACGCCTTAGAGCTGAAGGACAGGGTGGGCTGCAGCCTGAATCCAGCCGAGTCGCTCGCCAGGCCCCTTCTCCTCCATGGGGCCAAGCCCGGCCTTGGGTGTGCAGAGGTCTGGGCAGGGAGCCCGTTCAGAGAGAGCCCCAGAGCCTCTGCTGGGAAGAGCGTGGCCAGGGGAGGAGGGTGGGGAGCCAGAGGGTCAGCAGGGCAAGGGGGCCGAAGGCTGCCCCCTTCCACAGGGAAGGCTTGAGAAGCACACCCCTCCCCTTGCGTTCATCATCAAATGCCCTTGAGGCAGCCTGGGGGGGGGAGGGCTTGCGCAAAGCAGCTCAGCTGGGAGGGAGGGCCCGAGAGGACGGGGCGAGGTCAGGAGCTGAAGCTGCAGCCGCCACCCCATGGCTGAGGAAAGCGAGCGGGGCTCAGCCCTGACGGCCGACCAGGTAGGCCTTCCGGGGGCTCAGAGCACATTCCTAGGGAGAGGCAGCGGCTTTGGGGAGGGTGGTGATGGCACATTTTGCCCAACCTGGATGGTGCTGCGACTGCCTGGCTTTCTTTTGCAAAAGAAAGAGACTCCAGAGCCAGCAGGAGTTTGGTGCTGGGCTAGGCTCCCTCCGTCCGTGTCTGGCCTTGTGCAGCAATCCACGGGGGGACGCAGGCGCTTGCAAACCAGGCTGTGCGAGCACGTCTGTTGCCCAGGCCGCCAAACAGTAAGCTGTGGGATTGGGGTGTGTGGAGGAGAGCACAAAAGATGTTTTCACCTGAATTTCCGACTCGGGCAGCCTGGCTTCACAGCGAGCTCCACTCTTTCCAAAGAAGCCCTGCCCCTGTGGACGGGCTGTTCCCACAATGGCTGCCAATTCCAGCTACAAAGGCCCAGCCTGGAGAAGCTCTGCCAGGTGTGATCTGCTAGGAGAAGAAGCTGTGGCAGCAAGTTGGGTGTGACCCCCCAGACCGGCTCCAAGAACAGCCATCCGTCTGGATCTGCACATTTAGGCAGTCTGGGATGCAGGCTGCTCCAGGCCCCCCCCCCCCGGAATTGACTGGGGAGTTAGGCTGGCCCAGGCAGGGTGAGCCAGGGCTCCCCCGACTAGAACTCTAGGCTCCACTTCTTAAGGCGTCCCTCCCCTCTCCCTCCCCACTTATTCACACAGCCTTTTCTCCAGCCAGGCGGCTGCAAGACCAGGGCCCTCTCCCTGCAGCTCCCTCCCTTTGGCTCCCCCCCCCGTGCAGTGCCAGGAGCCCACCTCTGCCCTGGCACTGCACGGGGGAGGGGGGAGCGATTCTTCCAGGCCCACCACTGGCTTTCCAAGGGAGCCAGCTGGCCTCTTGGCTGGTTTGCTTGCCCAGGAATGGAGGGGACCCTCTGGCTCTGGGAAAGGCAGGACCAGATTTCCAAAAGGGCCGCTGCAGCTTCCATACATCCACAAAGCACGGGAGGATAAGAAGCAGGCAGCCGAAAACAAGGCTGGCTTTATTGCAGGTCAGCTTAGCTTTGTCAGCAACAAAACTTTGCAAAATAACCTGAATTTTTTCATTTTTTTTTATTCAATTGGGCAACTGCCTTGTAGAGTATGGAAAACTGTAGACCATCGAAGTACTTGGTCTCACGCTGCTTAGCTAGCCGATTAAGTGTGCACTGGCCATTAAGCAGAAAGCGTTGCTGACTCCGGAATCCTCCGGTGCTTCTCCCTGGTTCCCCATTTGAAAAAGGCACCCAGTTTTGGGTGCTTCCCTCGCCTCTCTTTTCGTTAACGTCTCGGAGGAAACAGTGGTGAAATGTTTTTTAGATTTGCTAATGATGCAGAATTGAGTGGGATAGTGAGACCCAAAAATACAATACTCAAAGGGATATAAGCAGGTTGGAGATACTAACCCAATGTCAGATTTAATTGAGAAAATGCACAATTCTTCAGAAACCATCCAATGCACAGGGGAGAGAAGCCCTGGCGATGGCACTTGGAATAATGGTACATTGCAAGCCATGAATGGGCAGCAAGATGTGGCTGCAGAGAAGGCCAGTGCAATTTTGGATGGCATCTTCATCATCATCCTTGGGACCCCATCAACCCTTGTGCAAATCTGAATTCCTTACCGAGAGTCAGAAATGGGTTTTCAGCAGAGCAGCCAGGATCACCGGGGCGCCAGAAACCTAGTCCTGCAGAGAGATGGGGGGGGCGGGGGGGGCAGCCTTGGAAAAGGCTCGCCAGGGTTGTGGGAGCAGCCAGCAGACTTTAGGAAGCCTCTGATCCCGGCCTGCTCTCCGGCCTGGGTGAGGAAAGGGAGGGAGCGCCTTGGCCCACTTCAGGGGAGCTTTCTCTGCGGGGTGCTTTGGCTTGGACTGGACGCCCCCTCCCTGGTCTTTCTGCTTCTTCTCTAGGCTCTGGCCTTGGTGTGCATCTACCTGGTGACCCTCTCCCTCAGGTGAGCAGAGGGACTGGCTAACGGGGGGGGGGCTTGCTCGCTTCCCCTTCCCCCTCAGGAACCCGGGTGACTCTCCAAGCCACCCAGTCTGAGCCTGGCCTNGAGAGAGAGAGAGAGAGAATGAGAAGGAGGGCTTGGAAGGGTCTAAGGTCCAAGGCTTGGGCTGCAGGGCAGGTGTGGGGGGGGAGGAGAAAGAGGGAGGGTAGCGGGGTCTTACCTCTTTTGCATCACTTGTAAGCGGGTCGCCTCCTGGGGTGTCTGGCTGCTGCGTGAGTGGGCCTCCTGGGGTGCAGCAGGGCTGGAGGGAGGCCCCTGTTCTCTGACGGCTGATGGTGGCTAAATGGGGAGGGGGGGTGGAGGAGGAAAGGCCCCGGACGTCTGCTTGTTCCCAATGCAAACTTGACTGGGGGGGGAGGGGAGGAAGGAGGAGCCTGGCCCTGGGTGGATCTGTGGCGGCAGCGGCAGCAGCATTTGGCCCACCGGATCCTGCTGGCTTTCTCTTTCAGCCTGCTGGGCAGTGGCTCCATTCT